GTGATTATCAATTGATGTGTAGGCGTGTCTGGTCATCTTGAATACATGCACACGAAGGCCGTACGAGCTTCAAACTCGGATATGTGACCTTAACGAATTCTATGGCATATGCGTGTAAGTTCAAGGTGTGTCCAAAATCTGATTCTCCAATACAGTAGTTATAATATTGCGGCAAAATCATTTCTGGCTGGATCCTTCGTTATGAGAGGAATCAAGATTCAATTCTAACAAAAAGATTGTAAATGTCCTCAAACGACTGAAACCTGGGTCCCTTTCTAATTGGTTCCTTTCCCGTATTCGTACCTGTGTTTCCCCACAGACAACTACCAATAGAACAGATTGTCTTGAAGACACTGGCAGTCGGTTTTTTTTTGCCAACGGGGGCAGGGGCTGCTGTGACTGGCGGGTCATGAGGACATCGATTGTCGGCGCACGCCTGTTTGATTCGTTCAAATTCCTCCTTGTATTGTTCCATTTGCTCGGGACGCTTGCCAAAGAGTGACAATCCCGGTTCTTCCTTTGGTCGTGGATCCCTGAGTTTTCCTGGATGATCCGAATCGAGTGTTTTTGTCTTCATTAGGCTGCAAAACCCCAATGCCATTTCGATTCTGGTTTGGAGTTTCATCCGGTCTCCAACTTGAGGTTTATGCCCCCCCACCCCCTCGCCAGATAGGATGAGAATAATCGTATATTCAACATGCAGCCATTTCAGAATAATCTCGTCAATGAGCAGGTGGATGGAGGCGAAATCATTATTGGTGGGGCCCTTGTCTCCAGCCAATCTGGAAATAGCGCGTTGTAACCGGAGAGTAGATTCGTCCAATTCGAGTTCCAGCTCTTCAATCGTCTTTGAAAAGTCTGGTTCTGGTGATCCGGGAGGAGCTTTAAAACTATGGGCTGGTGGAACGGGCCCGGGAGATGCTGGGAGTGATGACAGTTCAGGTCCAGGAGCTATGACTGTATTTCCAGCTGCGCCTGTGGGGACAGGAGTAGCAATCGCAGCTGCGATCAAGACACAGAGGAAATATCTGGTGAGGAGTTGACGAAGGGGGGCCATCGTAATGGAAATGAGAATGGAGACTTGGGACAAGACCAAACTTGGAGCTTGACGTTGGAGTCAGTCTGATAGGGCAATGCCAACCCAGGGAAACAGGTTGCTCACTGTTTGAGAGGGCCGAGATCGAGGATATAACACTGCTTTGGGTAC